CGGCGGATGTCAGAGGGAGATTTCTTTTTTTTGTTTATGCCGTTGCACAATCTGCCCCCAAATAAGGAGGTCAGGGGGAAGGCAGGCACAGCAGCATCTTTGCGGGTGTTAAGCACGGCAATACAGCAGCAAAAAGGGATCTCCCCCTTTTATTACAACCCTGCAAACGCGAGGCGACTTTTCGACACATTTCTCGCCGCTGTTCGTATTTCTGTCCTTTAAAAAAAAAATAAAAATACTCTACCTCACCACCACAAAAAAATAACGTTAAAAAGCCTCTCGATTTGTGTCGGTGGCGGCAGAAACCCGTGCCAGCCCCAGCCAGCGCCTGCGACGTGAAAGGAGCGTTTCACCGTGAGCCATGTTAAATTTATGTCTCGAAGCAGCGCTGCAGAAGGAAAAGACATTTTTTTTTTTTTTCCAACCAGGTGTCTGAAAGCCTCGCCAGCACTCAAAGCCATTCTCTACCCTCTCAGGTTTTGGTTTTTTTTTTTCCTTTTTTTTCCAAAAAAAACCCCGAATCCACCGCGATTTGGCTGAGGATTTTCGGAAGCGGCGGAACCCCCCGAGCCGCGCCCCGGGGGCCGCTCCGACCCCCTGCCCCTCGCTGCCCGCACCGGCAACGTTTTCCTGCCCGATAGCGATTAAATAATTCCCCAACCTGCTGTGGTCGGACTGAAATGCAGTATTCACCGCCCGGAATTGGTAGGGGCACGGCGAAAGCTTGAGTAATTATTGTCAAATAACGTCGGCCAAATGGCTAAATAATTATCACTTCATTTCGTTTTAGAAGGCAATAAAAAAAAAAACAAACCCACCCTTTTTTTTTAACCCCAGCAATAATCACCTGCTGATGAACTGTCGGATCGCTATTATATTGACATCATCGAGACGGGATTTATCATGAAAATGGTGCAAAAAGTCTCATTCAGGCGTGCAAATCTGCATTCCTTTAAAAAAAAATAATCATCCCTCTCTGACCAGATGGGCACTGGCTAAACCCTCATCTGCCAGATTTAACACAGTCCGGATTTCGGACAACGACAGATACCAGAAATCTTTAATTGAAGGAGGCGAACCGTTAAAAACGCTGAATCAAACTAGTTTTTCCCCAGTATCAAAAAAAGCTCTATTTTTTAGACTCCCTCTCTATCGATTTACCTTGCTGTCTATAAATAACCTTGCAATGTATTATTTAACAAAGACGTTGTTTCCTGCCTTAAAAGAAAAGGAAAAAAAAAAAAAAAGAGAGAGAAAAGTTACCCGGGGGGCTGCTGAGCTGCTCTCCCCACCTGAGCGCCGCCTCCCGCAGCCCCCGGGAGCTCCGCCGGCCTCGGGTCCCCGCTAATCACCATATCGCCAACGCTGGAAGATGAACTTTCCCTTTATCGCCCTAAATGCTTGTCCAGAGGCTAAAGATAGCCGGCTTGGGCGCTGTGATTTTTTTTTTTTCCTCCCCCTGCATTCACGCAGGATCGCGCTCCCCTCGCGTTTTGACCCCGCGTTCCGCGGATCTCTGCGAATTGCCAACACGGTCCGGTTTCTTTCCTCCTTTCTCTTTTTTTTTTCTTTTTTTTTTTTTTCCCCTTTTTTTGTTTGGGTTGTTGGGTTTTTTGCTTTTATTTTTGGTTTAGTTTGGGTTGGGTTTTTTTTAACCTCCGGAAGGTGATGCAGGTATGATCAATAGGGAAATAAATAGGGGCGTTTAGGAGCCTTGCAGAAGCAGCCGGTGCGGAGCC